CCCTCTCGAATATGGGATTCCCCTCCATATGCTGTGAATAAGTTTTATTACTATTGCTTAATAAAGAAGCTGCTTCGGCCTATGGCAGGACAGAATATAGCCGGGGGGGGGGGCAGAGTCAGGGAGACACCATGTAGCTGCCAAAGGAGGCAGATGCCATTTAACTGGCCAAGAAGCAAGAGATAACAAAATATGAGCCTTGTGGTAAAACACAAAATAATTGAAATGGGTTAATATAGGAGCTAGTTAGAAATACACCTGAGTGTTGTAATTAGTATAGTTTCTGTGTGACTATTTGAGTCTGGGCGGCCAGGAAACAGACGAGCAGCTTCCATGGTGGCAGCATGGGCAACTACATCCACATAGAACCTGAGAGAGCTTGAGAAGGGAGTTTAGACAGAAAAGAACAGAGTTAAGCACAACTTCTTGGTGGCAAGGTTTTTTTTTCAGATAGACTTTGCAGACTGCAAGGAGAGGTGCGGCTCTTTTAAGAAATGGTGGCTTCCTGGCTTCCTGGTTCATGCTAGGGTTTGTGAGCACAGTGAAAGGGCAGTGTCCACTTACACCTCTCCCCAGGGGCCCACTCCCCAAATAGATTCCACCAATGAGAAGTCCAGGACCCCACAGAGCAGTATCTCAACCTAGGGACAGAGAGCTAAGCTCCTGAGTCTGCAGAGGACATTCCACATTCAAAGCACAGCAGGGCCGGATGCTCAGCATCTCACGGCCCGGAAGCTGCCTTGATGCACAACCCTCTATGGGAAGCTACAACATCCATGGCTCACCAGCTGTGCAGGAGACACACCCTGAGGCACATGCTGCTGTGTCAGAACTTCGGAGAGATGGGGAAAGGCAGCAGGGTGCTCTGCTGTTAAACCTCTGTCAGAGTTAGCTTCAGCAGTCAATCTGAAACAGACCTAGAGTCATCTGGGAAGGAGCCGCCTCACCTGAGGAACTACCTCCATCACAATGCACTGTGGACATGTCTATGTGACAGATTTTTTTTTGATCATTGATTGATGCAAAAAGGTCTGGCCCACTGTGGGCTGTGCTACCCCTGGGCAGGTAGGCCAAGGCTGTACAAGAAGGAAGCTGAGACATGGGCTGGGGAGCAAGCCAGTCAGCAGTGCTCCTCTGTGGTCTGCCTCAGTTCCTGCCTCCAGGGTCTGCACTGAGTCAGTCCTGCCTCCTTTGATGATGTAACGAGCCCTTTCCTCCCCAAATTGTTTTTGTCATGGAATTGTATCACAGGTTCAGAAAGCAAACTATGACAATATCATGAAAGAGAAGAATACGATCGTCCTGAACCTCTTTCTGGGGCAAAGTCACTGTCCACACAGGGAAAGGGCTGTCCAGCACACAAAAGAGTCAAGACCACTCACAAGAAAAAAAAAAAAACATGGTGAATTATTCCTCTAATAAGGTTCTACAACTTCAGAAGGTGAAGCCTAGCTAGCAGACGACTGATGGGATTTATTGAAGGCTAGACTTATTCCAGGTTCTGGCCTGGTCTCTCTGCACACTACCCACCACGATGTGAAATGCTCCCACTGCCATGGACCAGCCTTTCCCTCCATGCCTTCTCCACCACGTAAACCTGCGCTCTCTGGAACTGTGGCCTACAATAAGCCCATTCTCCTTAAGCTGCGCTGGCACAGGTGTGAAGAAAGCGGTCAGTTCAGCTTAGCAAGCAGGCCAACACTCCTCTCCCTCACCATGGAACCTTTCCCCAGCCAACCCAAGGCTGCCAAGACCTTCACCACTCCCAGAACTCGGCACACTGAAATACTTAGTACTTCCCCAAATGCCTGGGTGCCAGACTGGCACGGTGAGTTTATTAAAGAATGAATACTTAACAAAGTGAAAGTGTTGACAACTGGAATTAGCTGAGTAGCAGATATATCAGTAAGGTATCAGATTTCAGGACATGGCAACCCCAGAGGCCAAGAGAAGGTGCTAGAGAATTCAGGGACAGGAACTCCCATGGGGTAGACCTGCAATGGTGGTGCTAAGAAGGCAGGGTCACCAGACGGACAACTGGAGACCCTGGAGACAGAGTGGGGGATGGGGTGGATCACTGGCAGCAGTCAGGCACAGGTGGTGCCCTGCAGGGCCTTCTATGAAACCAGGTAATGCCACAGGCAAGAGAAGGAAGCTAGGCCCTGGGGAGTGAGTGGTCACACAGTTGGGCTCAGAGCCTGTCTTCTGTGCTGTCCAGCCATAGAGTGTCTGCAGACATAGAGATCCAGAGAGCAAGTTCTCTCTAGTCATTAATTTAATAAACTGTATACAAGTGAGAAGTGACTCTTGGTCCCATCTCTGCCATTCAAGCACTCATGATTTTAGCAAGTTCTCACATTCCTCCACATTTGTTTTTCTGGAACTGTTAATCACTCTTGTCTTGGCTGCTCAGCAGCATTTGATCTAATGATGGTGAGAGCCCTGGGCAATGTCTTTAAGGTTAGGAAACAAGTACCTTGCATGCTTGCTAATTCCTCAAAAGAACTCTGGGCTGATGTTCCAGCCAAGCACCAGGGCGTGGGCAACTATTCCTTGCATTTATATGTAACTGAACAATGTCCAGAGAAGAGCAAGCTGCACACATTATCTAACATATGCAGTGTGGTGTGGTGTGGTGTGGTGTGGTGTGGTGTGGTGTGGTGTGGTGTGGTAGCATGCATTCCTTCAGTGTCTCCTCTGCCAGAAGAGGGTGGAGAACATGAGGTAAAGAGCCCAGTGCTTGGCAGCTGGAGGAAGAGCTCACCAGCTGCAAGTGTGGCCAGAACTTTTGCTACTGTGGGGAGGCAGCTAGATGCTTGGCTCCACTGCCACCCACAGTAGCCTTAGCAAAGCCACCAACACTCTCTGGACCTTAAGTCTTCATCTAGGAAACATTACTATCTCTCCAACCTGCCAGAATAAAACAAGCAGGTCTCCCCACTTGCTCCAGGCTTTCCACCCGCACCGACCTTCACCTTTCCCAGAATGGTAGACAACATGCAGGTCGGACAGAATGAGAGAAGTCACTGAAGGAGCCTTACAATTTGCCTTGTCTCCTCATAGTTTGGAGTAGGACATTCTGAGCCCCAGGTGCCCTGCACACCTGGAGACCAGGCCACCAGAGGCCACTGTTGGAACAGGATGTGCTGTAAGCCCATAGCTGCGCTGGTCAAGGAACCAAAGGCTGCAAGCCGGCAGAACACCACTTACTCATTCCGAGCCAGGATTCGCATATGCTGGGGTGTGCTTGGTTTCATCTTAGGCTGAACTGTTTGAGCTGTTCACACTGACACCTGTTTGTCTCCCCCAGAGCATGTTCTCCTGAGGGGAAACAGTTCCCTTGATGCCTGCCTCCTAGAGATGACCTTCTCGCTTCAAGTGTCATTTTGCTGTCAAAGGAAGAAAGTGCCTTTCCCCGTCATTCAGAGAATACCTGTACATGGCCCCCAGGCTTAGGCACTGGCATGGATTTCTGCAATCAGGTATGTCTTCTCTTTCTACTCTGTAAGCTACCCTTTCTACCCAAAAGCCACTATCCGCTATCAGCAAATCTCAAAATCACACAGAAGAGGCATCTTTGTTATCCATATGAAAACATGCCAGTGTGTCACACGGCCACTCATCTGAACACTCAGTCATGACACAGGAGAGGCAGCAGCTTGTATGAAACTGAGCCTCCTTGAGAACAGACTGGGCAGGGCTACCTGCTGGATCTCAGGGGCCTGATCCTACACACGGGATAGAAAGCCCAGGGTTCAAAGGTGTTTCTATATATCCAACAAGCACCGAGTTCAAACTCTGTAGGAAACACCGAAGAAACAAGGATGGGGCCAACCTTGCTGTCTTGTGATCTAAGCGGAAAGAAAGATAGAAGCACCACAAAAACTAGAGGAGAAAATCATCCCACGCTGGCCGGCCAGCAGCGTTCTCATAACCCTCAACCGACTTGTCTGCTATGGGAAGGCTTCTGGGGGGTCGTGGCTGACAAGCCTAAGAAGTAGCATGAATTCTGAAGGGCTTCCTGCCTTCAGCATGGAGTCCCCCCCTGAGCTCGGCCCCAGTGGTGAAGCGGCTAGGAAAGAAAGCTCACCGTTATGACACAAGGCAAGAAGAACCCACCACATTTTGTCATTGCCCGACATTCAAGGTACTGAATGCCCTTTAGAGTCCTTTCACTGCTGTCTGAAAGCCAGAGACAAGCCAGCTCTTCTCTGGAAAGTTAACCTACGACTACAGAAGGCTAGTTCTTGCCCGTTCTCTTAGCCCAACACTGTTTATTTCTTTGGACACCAGCTTCACCTGTCTCTTTATCCCCTCTGGCTGGTTATAGCCAGTTTCACAGCATACTGTCCACCTAGAGCTCTGCTTTCTATAGACGTTCCCTGTCCCAAGATAAGCCCAGCTTGATGGAGGGATGGTGTGAACTAAAATTATTTGGGAGGGTTTGGGGGCTCATTCTCATGTTCGCTAAGATTCCTATTTCCACCACCCAGGCAACCCACCCTCCTATTCTATCATAAGGAACCTCCACAGGTAGACCTGTGTTCAGATAGGACAACCACTGAAGGACAACATAGGTGTAAATGCAAGTTGGGCCAAATATAGGGAGTACACACCCCTTTCCAACTCCCTGAATCTACAAACCACTGAACTACATCATGAGGAAGCCAATCATCCAGGAGTGTGGGGTGGGCATGAATGAGCTCTACAGGGTTCTAGAATGCTCCTTCTACAGCTAACCACTTCACAGAGAAGAAAAACAGAGCCAGGAGATGTGCTGCTGGCCTTAGTGACTCTGTTTACACACCAAGGGGAATGAAGGTCTGCACCCAGCCCCGGGCTGACTACAGCCAGAACTCAGACCCCAAATGCAGCCCAAGCAAAATGTCTTTGACATCCCTCCCCCAACCCAATCAATCAGGAATAGTTGATTTACTTACATATAACCCAATGCCAAACTCCCAAGTCAAAAGAAAGCACTGGGCCAACAGGACGCTTACCCTGCCTCAGGAGCTCTGGAAGCAGAAGTGCTCTGGCTCTCCCCGTGGCCTCTTGGCTTGCTGCTGCGGCTCTTAGAGCTGCTCACATTCCCTGTCCCCAGGGATGTCCTACTGTGGGCATGGGCTGTAGGGCCATCCTCATATCCATTCAACAGGCGCTGGTCAGCTCGGGTTCTTGTCCTCGTCGGCCGGCATCCCTCTGATTTGTCCTCACGCGGTGCTGAGACATCTCGAGCTGGCTTGTATCCATGAGAAATCAGGAGATCTTCCACACTGTACATGGCGCAGTGTCATCAGAGCTCACGCGGCTGAACCATCATGGCGGCAGGACCCATCACTGGAAGGGCAACCAAGAGCTGCCTTTATGAGTGCCCACAGCAAAGCAGACACCCACCCTCCTCAGGCCTCCACTGGTGAAGGGAAACTCACTGTGGCCACAGAAGCAATTGTTAGGAAACATATCTGGCAAGCATGCAGATGTGATGAAGTTGCCTGCTCCTGCCAATGGGAATTCTCCCTGGATCCCACACTGTTCTACTGACCACTGGGTACATGCCCTTAGAACACAAGGACAGAGATATCTCTGTGGTCAGCTTGGGGGTGATCACACTTTGTAGGTCTGTAACTGTGCATGGTGTCCCTCTAGATTGTAGAAAGCCGGAAAGCTCTGGGCGCTAGTGACCTCAGAGAAAATTTCCTGTCACCATTCCTGACACTACTTTGTGACTTTCACAGATTCACAGATGGGACGTTCACATATACAATCAGGAAGGATTCAAGGAACAAGTATTTGTTCAAGTCAGCTTAGCAAGGACCTTGGCTAAGCACTAGAGAAAAGAGGTTGTAGCACAACTCGGGGCTGTGAATGTGAATGTGAAGGTGAATGTGGAAGGCGGCTATTTAGCTAGGGTTTTGCTGGCTACATCCCCAGCATCCAGCAATTAATATACATTCTGGAAATCCTTGTAGAATGGATGCATGAATGAGAGAAGAGGCACTGGGGCAACATTTTGAAGACTAGTTAGAAGCTGGATAGATACACTGCATTTGTCAATACAGAAGTGGGAAACTGGGCATTTAAAACGGACTCTGGGCATGATGACCTCAGGAGTAAAACCATGTCTTAGAGACAGACTACTGGTGACCCAGGGTAAAGGGTCCTTATCTGTGAGTATGTGTCTTCATACAGAGATGGTTATATGTATCCCTTCCTCAAGAAATATCCATGTGGGCCACTGTCCCACTGGGGTTTGGTAAATAAACCCAACATCCCTATGTGCCCACAATTCAGAAAAAAACCTTTAATGTGCTAACAACCCACGCTAAGGCATATGTGTCTTTCAGAAGAGCTCCAGCTTTCAAAGTGACCTAGGATGACTGAGGTCAAGGGATCTCTGATGTTGAAAGTCTTACCTGTTTTACTCTCTGGGGCCTGCAACACACAGGTAGGAGTAGAGTCTGGCTTCAGTGCTCAGGGCTGAGCCCCCAGCTGACCCACAGGCCTTACCCATAACCCCAAATGCCAAGCGGACTCATGGAAGACTTCTTCCCCTTGCGTGTACCCTTCACCTTTACCCAGCGTGGCCTCTGCTGTTTCCACAGCCACGTGAGGCACGGACCCTTCTCCTACAGGTCCCTGTGCACTGTTATTCTAACACCTATGTTTGGCTTGATTCTTTGAAGTCGCTTTCCATTTAAAAAGGAATGGGCTGCCTCAAAAGGTAGCAGTTTACTCCAGACACATTAACTGCAGTGGCCGCAAGATGGACCAATGAGGCGAACCCATGGGCCAGGGAAGTGAAGTACACCTTCCACGCTGCCGTTCTTGCTCTAGACGTCTGCTGGAGGAGGCCACCAGGAAGCTCTGTGTGTTTGCATCTAGTGAGCTTTTCTGTTGTTCCCATATTCTTCCAGGGTCTGCACCCTAACAGGAGCTAACCACTTAGTGAAGGGACTTGTGTCCCAGGGAGTTCTGTCACTGGGAAGAGGAGTCTAAACAGAAGCTATTGCAGATGGTCTGCCCCAGTAGCCGAGGTGGAGGGTGGATATGAAGTGGCTGTGACATCACGAAGACCCGTGTTTTCCTGTATTAGAGTGCCTTAATAGCAAGCCCATTTTCTCATATGCATACTGCTACTTACCCCAAGAGAGGCTAGGTGGCCCAAGCAGGACGCTGCTGACTTAACTACTGCTGCTAGATTTCATGGCACCCTGTGGAGATCACAGGACTCAAGGGTAACCCGGCAAGCTGACCCAGGGAATGCCTCATGGGGTCTTCCGTCACAAGCTCTTCCCTAGTTTGGTCTTGTACAACTTGGACTAAGCCAAACAAGTCTTTTCATTAAAACAAACTTTGTAAGGCAGCATACACAAAGAAGAAAAACTGGGTCTATAAAAATTCTCTTTTCTTGTATAAAAGGTTTTATGCTGAGCATGTAATTAACATTCTAAGAATAGTTAAGATAATGCAAACTCTGGGAATTTCATTCCTGTCTTCTAAAACATTTAAAGGCAGGTGAAGTGCACTGGAGTGCTGCCTGCTCTTCCAGAGGACCTGACACTGCACACACACGTGTAAAACACAAACATAGAAAACAGCTTAAAAAAACACTTAAAAAAATAAAGGCAGAAATGGATGGAAATAGAAAACACCATCCTGAGTGAGGTAAGCCAGACCCAAAAAGAGGAACATGGGATGTACTCACTCATATTTGGTTTCTAGCCATAAATAAAGGACATTGAGCCTATAATTCGGGTTCTTAGAGAAGCTAAATAAGAAGGAGAACCCAAAGAAAATCATATAGGC